TTGGCCCAACATGAGCTTGTTACCCTGCAGCTCCCCGGGTTGAGGACAAACATGTCCCTCTCCCACAAAGCAACAGCAGAAAGTTTATCCTTGACTTGGTAAATAACAATAAATATCTGAGCAACAAAAGTGTCTGATAAACTTCACCCTGTAAATAATTTGGTTATTCCTTTAGAACAGCAATCAGCTTTTATAAGCATCCTAGTTTCAGGAACGTTTGTTTTCATTTGTGATGAAGCAAAGAAAATGATGACAGAAAGAATCAATGTTTTTATAATTAGTCATTTTGCTGTTTTAATTCTATGTCCTTTTTATCCACCAGGTATTTGAAAAAGGACAAAGATGCTGAATGACAATGGAGCTTAAGAAAAAAAATAAATGTGAATGACAACAGACCTCAGAATGAATTAAGGATTATGAACTTTATTAGATATATGTTGAAGCAAAACAAAGAACAAAGCAACATGCTGCACAGCTTTGGAAACATCTGGAGCAAAACAATCATTTACTAAAAACAAAGTCATTCACAGCACTTAGAAAGTGTTTTATTTTCTGGCTGTAAAATGTAAAACTTTATTGTTATGATTATTGTTATGGTACTTCATATATATTTATCAGGGATGCAAAAGTATATAAAGTTTATATTTCCCATAAACAGGATCTTTGTGATTCAGAGATGTAAATAAATTTAAGTCACATTTCTGTTGTCTCATGTAAATAGCTGGTTGTCATGGTAACTTGATGCTCTGGACTTATGGACTAATAATTTAATTTAATGGCAACTCTAATTAGATTTTTAAAAAATTCAAAATTACAACCAAAACTCCAAGATGTTTTACAAAAGAAATTAGTTTTTTAGTTCTCAGGACTCAAAGTCCAACAAAGTTTCTCAAAAGCTGACATATTAAAAGCTGTAATTTGTACATTGTCTTTCATTGATCATGCGGTATCTCTGAAGTGTTTATAAAATAAACTCAACTAAACTTAAGTCAAAGCAGATAAAGGCTGAACCAAAGCTGGATATGGAGCAATGCAGCAAAGCAAAACATCATTTTTGTCAAACCTGAAAAACGTTTCCAAAGTCAAAACGGTGATCAGGTTATGGCTCACAGGTTTCACCACTCTGTGGCTCGTTCTGACTGTCTTGAAAGTGAACAGGACGGCATTGGTTGTCAACTTTATCACAAGCGACAGTCACATATTGAGCTGTGCTAGAAAGAATAGTAAAGCTGCAATCTGTATGAACATTGAGAACATACAGGCGAACTGGGCTGGTACTGGTGCACAAGTTGATCCTTCGATTCTTCCCTGAGCCGTTGCAGATGTTCTCTAAAACTTCTTTATTTTCATAATCAACGAAGGACTGCAGAGGTCTCTCACAGAGGCGTTTCTTTTTCAGATACCTAAAAAAAACATGAGTCAAAACTTGGAATCATATTACTTTGGAAAAAAAATCCAGGAAGATAAAAAACTAAATATGTTTTTATACAGATCCAGAAATATTCTGACTCTTGTGCCTGAATTTATTTCACAATTTTATTTGATATACATTAAAGTAAAATTGACATACAGTTGCTGGTGACTAAGTGCTTTTTATATAATCATATAGCTGTTATTATACATTTATGTGTGAATTCAATGGGTATCATTTCTATGCATACGCTATTAAGACTGTGAGATGATTTGAAAAGAAAGTAACAAGTAACCAAGTAATAAAAATTGCATTTTCATTAGTGGTGCTGGATCTACTGCTCTGGGTTACAAAAAATTGTTTTTGTCTGTTTTTTATTTTGTTTGTTTGTTGTTTTTTTTCCCCCCAACTGAATTAGGACTATTTTGCACCGCTGAATCCAATAGTGATGGCAAGTAGAGGTTTATTCCATATAGTCTCTGCTTTTTACACTTTTTTGTTCTTGTGTTTTACTACATGTATTTTTATTTTTATTTTATTTTACTTATTTACTTATACTGCCAGTTTTATACTTTCTTGTACGTTTCCATTGGGTGTTTTATGAATCACCATGGAATTATGCTGTCAGCTTGGATAATTGTCTTAAAGTGCCAATGGTTTTCTCAGTTGAGATGTCACTGAATGCAGACTGAACACATGACAAAGGGTGACAGACTCCCAGAACACTTGACCAATCAGGAAACATTTAACAATTTAGTCTTTACCATTGGTGTAACCACAGATCTACTTTAATTCAACTTTTACAGTGGTTTGTTTGGACATCCCACTTATTCAATACAGCAGATGGTATTAGAGAGCAAATTGCTACATGTCATTGCAATGTGAGCAGCATGATTCAGAGTTTCTTTTCTTGGTGCTAGAGCAGCCCAGTATTGTAGATAGTCATCACTAAATACATTAATCAAACTGTACATTGGCATGTCCAAGAACTGAATCCTGTCTTATTGGATTGATGAATCGTTTTATTCTTTTTAGGGTAACTTACTCTTTCCATTTAGGAAGTGAGGAAGTGTCAAACCCCTCCGGCAGAACGTGCTTGTAAACAAACTTGTTGTAGGCGTTGTTGTCAGAATTATTCATACAAGGTTTAGTATTGTAGGCTGTGCTCTCGTCAAACATCAGGACGGAATCAGTGTCCCTCTTTCTGAAATGACAAAAAAATAAAAAATAAAAATTCTTGAAATACTCTTTGTCAGAAAATTGCCAGAAAAATCTGAAGTGAGTTAACAACTTCTTCATAAAGACTGTTTCAGACAAGTAGCTACTTTGTCAGTTTTTGAAACATTGCAATGCATTTGAACCAACTGAACAATTTTACACATGATATGGGACAAACTAAAGTATTAGTTGTGAAGTTACAGAAAAATGACAAAATGATTTTAAGTGCTAAAAGCATTTGAACTCTGATACCCACAAATAAACTGGTTAGCAACTTGATAAACATATGGTTAAATAAAGGTCAAACAAAAATGAATCAAATGAATGAAACATTTTCAGTGACTTGTCTGAACCCGCCATTTATGGAGCGCACTGAATGATGAAGTGTCACATTTTCTCGCTCAGATATGAGAGTCTGGTTGCTTCCTATTACAATAGTTGTTCAATATTTCCTTAAACCATCACTAAACACACTAAAGCAAACTGTACACTGTCATTTGTTCCTTTAGATTTTGTTAATCAATGGTTTTCTGCACTTCAGGGTAACTTACTCTTTCCCTTCAGGAATTGAGTCAGAGCCGTTCAGACCAGGATAGAGAAGAATAACAAGGACGGCGACCAGCAGGACAAGGACAGCGATCACAAGAGCAGCTTTCATCTTTCTAAGATGACAAAGAGCGAAAAATTACTGACAATGTTTTTAAGCATTTGAACCTAACAAGTTATTTTCTCATTCATTCATATAAGTCATTTTGGACAACATATTCTTTGTAGATCTATTAAATTTTGCGTAAATCTAAGGATCTAATAGATCAGTATTTTAATGTATAATTAACTGTGCTTTTTTGGTGTAAATCCACTGAATTTAATGTACTTACTGCTTGGGACTTTCAAAGATGCTTTTCTTCCTGACAAATATGCAATTTGCATTAAATTATGCCACAAATATGATGCTAGTTTTACCAAAAATGTCAGCTTTCTTTGTATATTATTATGGGCCTGATCTACAAAGACTCCAAATAAGGTAGGTTATGCAAAAAAAAAAAAAAGAAAAACCCAGTATGCACAGAAAGTGGGCGTGTTCCACATGATCTACAAAGATTGACTGTGCAAGTAATTACAGAAGAAACAATGTTGTAGACCAGCGGATTTAAATTACGATTTTGTCACTTTCTGAGATCGTGGAGAGTGTCGGAGATCAGAGCAGCAGTAAAAGAAAAATGAAATAGAAAGTGATTAACAATGAGACGAAAAAGAAAAAGAAGATGAACACAATTCATTTCAATGAGCATACAACGTCTGGTGACCCGTCCATTGTGAACGTCGACCACTAGTCGGAGCCACCAAACACCCTCATGAGTATTAAAGGTGCTAGATAACGAATAAGTGGATGGTACTCAGAGTGGTACAACACCACAGGAAAAACATTCAACCCCCACTGTCCCGGGTATTAAATCTAATCAATCCCTAATATTGATACATTACAATCATCGGCAGAATGTCCAGTTGGCAGCACAGAGTCATCAGCCGTCGCAGCTCAGCAGAAAGGAAAACGAGGAACTGCTGCAGTTTTATTCCCTGCACTGGTTTCTTATTTTTTGACTGTATGTGACCAAACCGGCCAGACCAGTTGTGAAGCTGTAAGCAGCAGCCGTGTGCGTGCAAGATGTACGGAAGACAAAACATGACCAACTTCCTCCACAGCTCTCAGCAGCTACACTCTGTTGGGATTGAACATGAACAGTTCACTTCCTCCAACAGTGAACAGTTCATTCACAGTGATAAGAAAAAAATATATGATGCTGCAAGTGGGTGAAGCTAAACAGTGTCAGCCTGGCCGCTAACAGACAAGAGAGCTGTGCATGTCTACACACCAACCTGTTTGACGTTTTTGGTGGAATGTGTTTGTTCTGAGAATTCCACAATGATGCAAACGTATCAAATTTAAGGAGGCGGACGATCACCAAATGTCAGATACTGCTGATTTTTTTTAAAAAAAAAAATCATCTTTCATCAACTTTAAGAGATTATGATTTTCTTAATGTGGAAAATCTGAAGTATAGCAGAGCTTTTATAGTTAGTAAGACAAGATGTCTTTCTTTTAGTACATCCAATGTAAAAAAATTATTTTTGTGTTTTGATAAAGGATAAAAAAAACATCATAAAAGAAGAGACTTCTTTATTTTCTTTCTTTCTTTTTTTCTTGGTAGATTTTCTTGGCTTGTCAGAAACACAGAGACACACAAGACAGGAGACTTTGCACTCACACACACACGCACGCACACACACACAATATAAAGGTCAGCTCAAATGACCTCCCCTCTGAAATTACTACAAAAATCCTTTTTTTGAATAAAAAAAAACACAAACAGAAAACAATCTCAAGTTTATTACCTACAACAAACATTTTCAATGACTGATTTGTTGAACTTAAGACTGTCCAGTAAAATTTTACTTCTTATTTCAAAGCTGTAACAAGAACAAGTTTGTTCTGATTGTCACTGAAACAAGGTCAGAGTACATTTGAAAAAGAGTCACATCACATTGGAACCCTTTAGAAACTTTGTCTCTGCCTGATTTTACATTTGTTGACGTTGAGTTGTCCAAAGGAGGGAGACAGGCTGTCATTAGGGACATTTTGGACATGAGCCCTTCTAGCCGTCTGTGGGAGAATCGTCCAGTTTTAATGGAAACCTCCTTCCTAGTTGACAGTGTTTCCCCTGAGGTCGGAACAGCAACAAGGAGGAGCATGTGAGGTTCAGAAAGTCAAGTCTTTTATCTGCCAGATGTTTTAGTTAACGGCAAAGAGACGAAAACATGAATTATTAATCGTCATCTTCATCGTCATCATCATCGTTGTCATCATCGTCATCATCATCGTTGTCATCGTCGTCGTCATCGTCGTCTTCATCGTCGTCGTCGTCATCATCGTCGTCATCATCGTCGTCATCATTGTCGTCGTCTTCATCATCGTCATCATCGTCGTCTTCATCATCGTTGTCATCATCGTCGTCGTCTTCATCGTCGTCGTCATCGTCATCATCGTCGTCATCATCATCGTCGTCTTCATCATCGTCGTCGTCATCATCATCGTCGTCATCATCGTCGTCGTCATCATCATCATCTTCATCATCGTCGTCATCATCATCGTCATCATCAGGATCGATCTTCCCAGACAGAACATCCTCTATCCACTGCTCCAGCTCTTCGGCCGTCGGCATGTCATCCTGATCATCCATGTCCATCCACACGCTGTCAGCCTGCCAGACACAAATACATCACCACTAGATTTATGTAGCTCTCTAGTCCAGCTGGCAGGCAAAAAACACAATAGTCAGTGGGTGAACTGGAGCTCGACAGTATGAACAATTCAAATTATTTGCTGTTCTGTTAGTTCTAATCATCTGTTAAACCGGTAAAACAAAACAAGTTATGCAAATTAAAAGTCCAAGGCATTGACATTATCTGTCTTCAACTGTGTCTTGAAGAAGATGTTTGGAAACTGTTGGTTCCGACCAAACCAGAAAATTCCCTCACTAAAAGGTTGAGTATGCTACTGATGGCTACTGGCTACTGGACCGTCTCACCAAGCTTGGACTCTGATTCAGATCTGGTGCCTGGACAGGCAGTAAGATATAACTCCTAGTTAAGAAATCAGCAGAAGTGTTGTGTGTGGAGTATCTTTCGACATCTCGTTGAATCTAAACCACAAAACTGTAAAGGCAGCTTTCAAGGCAAAACAGGATGTTTCTAACGAACGGGCCTGTCATCTTGCATCACAATGTGTGGGTTCTAGCAAATCCTTACGTCCTGAACGTCAACGACTCCGATCTGAGGAGACGAAAGGTCGATGCCAAAGGTTCTCTCCCAGTAAGGAACCAGCTGGAAATGTGAGACAGAAAGAGGGAGGAGGACATTAATCCTTAAGTAACCTAATCCACAAAATAAGTAATGCAGGTTGAAGTATAACAACACAAATAAATCTAGGACTTTTCCCACCAGGGGGAAATTATCAGGATCGATCCAAATGATGCTGAGGTTGGGGTCGTCTGTGTTGTCACGCGCTACTTCCTTCAGGATCTCCAGAAACTCAAAACCATCTGGAGAAAATGAAGTTGACACGTATTCATTCAAGGAATAACTTTTACACTGTGGCTGTAGATGTGGAAAAAAATCAGTCCTCAAAGCAACTAAGCAGAAGGTGCTAAGAAGCAACTTGCCTGGATCATCCTCTTCAGCAAAGGCGACTATGTGCTCTCCATTGATATCGTCTTCCTGTGTTCACAAAAACAGACTCTGTAGGTATTCCACATTTATAGACCAGGTAGAATATCCTAATTATACGTATGTAAATGATTACATTGAACAAATGTATGCAGATATTTCATCTCTCTTACCCAGATCTCATACATGCTGTGTGGTTGGAGCTTCCTCAAGGTCGGTCTAAAACAGGAAAGCATTAAATGATAACCACACATGTTCCTATAACTCCTCTCTTTAATGCAGAAGCCCACCTGTCATGCTGTTCGATGTATTCAACAAGCTCAGACTCGATGTAAGGCTTCCCTGGGATGGTGACGGGTTCTCCCATGAACGGTTCGTAGAAATCCACTTCATTCATCTTCAGTTTTAGCCTTTTGGCAATCTGGAAGGCAACGTCAAATTTATTCTGAATGAAGGCAAACGTCTGAACGCGGCAGACGTTACAAACAATAAAGTTTGTAGAAACAACTACCGGTACGTACTATGGCTGAAGGTGTTGTGATCAAGACCATTGTTAGCATTTTTGATTAAATAACGTTTCTGTGAAATTGCCTCTTTCCATGCCTGTTTCTCCTCCTGCAACCAAGTTACCTAAAGCTTTTAACAATCTGGGGCTTTGCGAATAGCAGTGGATTGAACTCCTGGCATTAAGCTTCTATCTATGTTGTTTGTCGACAGAGTTCACCAGAGTGAGACTGCTGACATTTCAACCTCAGTTGCCGCCGACAATCCATGCAAAACGCAATCAATCACAAATGTAATGATGGCACTTGAATAAAATGAATGTTTTGATTGTTGGTTCTATGTTGCATGGCTTTGTGCTTTTGTGTTTTGATGTAAAGCACTTTGAAATGCCTTGATGCTGAATGTGCTAAATAAAATGCGATTGATTTGATGGACTAATGTGAAGTCGTCATTTCTGTTGTTGCTAAGACACAGACACAACACTCCAATGCTTTCAAGGCAATATCTGGTGACTTTCATCTCGCCTCGATCTCTGCTACACTGCCGACATTTCAACAGTTTGTCAGATGCTCTACCAGAAAAAAACGAAGCATTGGATTGGTTTCACACAGATGCCAGGGATTCATATATCTCCAAACCAACACCTCCTCTGGGTAAATAAGGTCACAACCTTGTTTTTCTCTGCTCTGAATACAAACCCATTGTTCAGAGACAATCTGTAGCAGAAAGTGGTCACAGAAAGCAGAAGAAGCAGGTTGTTTAGAGCCTACAGATAGGTTCACTCTTTGCCAGCCACGTGGAAATGACATCAGTTATTGTGGATGATGATGGCTGTGGGTAGAAAGATCTCCTGTAGCAGTTTGTATTGCAACAAATTTGAAAAAGCCTCAAACTGAAGACATTGTTTTCCTACGACAGCCTCACAAAGAGGATGGAGAAAGGCGGTCCAGAATTTTCTTGATTTTATGCAAAAATCCTTCTTTGCACCGTCATCGTCAAAGGATCCCACAAATGTTGCTTGATATGTCCTCTAAAATATATCAATAATGGCTTATTTAAACATGAGCAAAATGGGACGGCATAGAAAAAGTCACTTTTATTTCAGTCATCCTGTCCTGGTAGATCTTCTGTTGCATGCCGTTTCAAGCAATTTCAAGTATATGAAACGACAAATAAAATGGATACAGAAGGACACATTTCACTGTGTGCAAAACAAGAAATCTGAACAAACCTTGGGGTCGAACGTTGCATAGAATTTGACAAAGGGGTGAAACTCTTCAGCTGCGTCATCATACTCTATGAAGTCTGTAAGAGCAAAATAATAGCTGTCACAATCCCAGACTTGGCACAGAAATGTGAGACTTGAAGCTCAGAATGTGGATCTTTTTAAATTTATGACTGATTGAACCTACGGGGGGACCTCTCGCTCTTGAAGTAGCCGACCAGTTTGATGGTATCATCCATGTTGTAGAAACCCTTCAGCTCTCGGTCGTTGTCGATGATCTCCACAGGGTCTTCAATCACCTACAGCAGACAAGTAAACACAAGCACGTCTAACACTTTCTGTTCATTACTGACATCCATTTTTATCACAGCTATATGCAAGCTTTGGGAGTATTAGTGCCAGGCTTCTGGGTTTATCTCTGTTAAAGTTACTTACATCGTATAGAAACTCAACGATGGTATCTGCAGCCAGCTCTCCATCGTACTCGATTATTTCATTGTCTGCAAAGATATAGATGCTGTCGACTTCATCCAGACCTAGTGAGAAAAAAGATTTCATCATTGAGAAAATCATATTTGTGATATTTACTAACAAGAAAGCTTCCATTCATACAACCGGATTAGGCCGTTTTTCTTCAGCTCTCAGTCAGATCCATCCCTCCTGTGTCTGTCTTTTAGCTTAATGACGCTTTTAAACGCTTCCAATTTTGGGATAAAATTTTATTTTTTTTTAAAGTGGCCCCAAGTCTTACTTTATTTTGTATGTTTGACTTTCATCAAGACACAAACCCAAACGGCTCAATCTTTTTTTTCCTTTGAACATAGAACCGTTAGCACCTGCAAATTTCCGTTCAGCGTCAGAAAACCAAATCTGAAACAGCACTACACTAGCCAATGACCCTAAAGCTACCTTTGGAATGAAAAATGTAAAACAAGTTTAAGTATCTTGAATCTAAGATGTGTCAGGAACTGACCGGTATTTAAATGAGCACTACTGCAAATCGAGGTCTGATATTCAGAATGAATTATCCTAGGATTTTTTTTGAGGACCATATAAAGTGTTTGGTTTCTCTGCAGCTTGTTATGAATGTTTATAGATTTCTTCACTCAGTTTTGCTTTGTATATTTTAAGCTGGGGGGCATATCATGTCATATCCCTGGTAAACACTTGAGGTCACTGTTGGTCCATAAACCATCTGGTCTTCTTTACCTTCCTTCCATACCTCCTTCTAGTGAATCATTAGGGGGAAAAAAACTAAATAATAACATCTAATCTTGAATTGAATGAAGTAGAAATCTAGACAGCATCACCTGCTCTCTAGATGTAATCATATCCTTCGTCTTATTGAGTTGCTAACACAAATTTCCTTATACTGCCAGGTCATTTTTTACTAAACAACGCAAATGAACCCAATTTTGCTGAAGCAAAAATAATACAAAGTTATGCTTTAAAAAAACATAAATAAATAACACATGTGATGTGTTCAGTGCAATGTGTTCAGCCCTCTTCGGCGATAACACACAAAACTCCTTTCTACAAATATCTACCGATTTTGTTTCTATAAAACTTTCATTTGTTTATTATTTGAGCGCATAAGTAAAACAATGAATGTCTTGGAAATTTATGCATTTTCCTTTTTAAAAAGTGCCCAACAAGTGCTTTCAAGTTGATCATTTTGGCCCCGAAAATTTTAACACCACTGGTTTAGACTTCAGTATATTTTTTATTCGGAATGACTTCAACATAACTATGAGAAATTTTGATTTTATTTATAAAAATAAACTGTCTTTGAACCATTTATCATCTTTGGCCAGTGATATATTTAAAAAAGCACTGAGGATTGTGGCCAGTAGGAAAACAAGTCTTAAAAAGTTAAGTCTCTATAAATTCTAGGACATTTACACTCATTTTGTGTTTAACCATGATCTTTTCCCCGGCACTGTTTCCTCAAAGCGTACCCAGCTTCTTGGCAACAGCAGAGGCCTTCTTTTCATCCACCAGACCAAACCCGATGTCCTCGTCTTCGAACTCGTCCAGAACTTGGGCCGCGAGCTAGACAAAGAGACAGTGGGACAAAAACAGCAGGTGGGAGGGATTTGGGGGAAATTCGGGTAAAGTGATATTTCAACATTGAGTTAAGAAGCTCAAAGTTTTCCCGCCAATTCGCAACGTTTGAAGGAGCATTTTCAATCTGAGCAAAACCAAAACCCCACACCTGGCGGGAAGTCATAGAAGAAAACAGAACCGCCACGAGAACAAGACAGGCAGAACACGGGCCAACTACGATGACAGCAAGAGACACAGCAGCAGGTGTGTTGGAGAGAGGAGCGCAGCCCGCCAAAGGCCAAGGTGCCCACATGCGCACACTCATACACGTACAGACATGTACAGTGGAGCACGCCCCGTCATCCACATAGCGTGCTACGTTGTTGCTTTACGTGGTATTTCAGACTTCTGAAACTAAAACCATCTCAATAGTGTGAGGAATCTTATTTGTGTGAAGGCCGCCCGAAACAGTTAGCGTGTAGACTGCGAAAGCAGCATGGCAAAGTGGATTCACAACGTAAGCCACAAATTGGCCAAAAGCAAAAGCACAACTAACTATTTCTAGTGCGTCACTATGTTTTACGTTGCTCTTTGCAGAGCCAATCTTTTAGTCAGTCACAGACATCCATTCTTTTGGCACTAATCTGATTTACTGTTAAAAAGATCTAACTGGATTATCACCATGAATCCATGAAAGTGTTGTTTTATGAAAAGATTTATTGAAGTTAGAGGATATGTTCTCCCAAATCAGAAAAAATAGTGTTTTTTTTAGCTTGATAAACCCATTATGTTCAGTACATCTGTCTCAGGCAATCTGGTGAGTTTTTAGAAACCTGTCTAAGTATCAGTCACTATGTTTTCTGTTCAGATCACCCTGATCATGATCAGGTCAGCAATGCTAAAGATCCATGGTTCTACATACTCTACATCTGCTCAGCTAAACGGGTTTGCAGATGACTCTGTCCCATAACTTATAACAAGGTAATAATTAATCCGGAGGATGCGAACACAGAGTAACAAGCAGGAGTTGGCTGTTTTGAGAAAAGTGAAAGTCTTCATTGACAAAGAGTTCTGGAAAGGCAATTTATTCCCCCCTAATGGGGGGAATAAATAATAATAATAATCCATGAAGATTTGCATCAGTCAACTAAGGAGCAGAGGCTGAAAGAAAAACAACGAAGACAATGATCTGGCCGGGAACAAAGGATCCAGACTGACCTTTACACTAATTGGGGAAGTTAGGAAACCTGAACTGCAGGGAATATAATCAGCAAACTAAGGCTTTACATTGACAAGTAGCATTCAATAGACGGAGCATTGGGCCAAACAATGAAATGAAGCCAAATTAAAACCAAAGAAATCATGAGATTGCTAATTAGATGTGGTGAATCCTGGATTACTGCTGTTAGTTATGTTAAGTATACCGTCTTTAAAAATTAATTAACCAGCATCTAGACATATCTTTACATCATCAAGCAGCCAGCATGTCTTACCATTAAAAAATAGTCATTTAGCGTGTTAAGGTTATGGGGTTTTTCTTGATTTGGGTGACGTATCCTTGGATGTTCATGGCGATTGTTACATGGATTGTTGAAAGGATGGATGGACATGTTAGAAAGCAGCTAATGTATTAGACAGGTGCTTTATCAAACAAGGTATCCTTACTTTTGTCTTTTTCTCACAAATCTGACGTTAAACTTGCACAGCCCAAGCCGCTACTGGACTTTTGAAAGCAGCTCAGCCTCCACTGGTCTGTGTTGCGGGTTTCTACGTCATTTCACTTCCTTTTAAACTAAACTGCAGTCAAGGAGACGAAGAAGTGAAACAGTTAGCGTGTAGACTGCGACAGCAGGAGAACCCGGATGTCACGGCCCGGCTCCAAGCACTCGACACACGAGGCAAAGTTTTGACGTACCTGAAAGATTACGGCTGCTTCGCTTGTGACCAACTGCAAGGAGAGGCAACGCTTTAGGGCGAGGCATTGGGTGGATGTGGCCTCCATGTTTGTTTACAACAAATGGAAATCTTCACTGAAGAACAAAACAAGGCCACACCGACAATCAAGACAATGACCGATTGGCTTCCCACCACAGATCACCAGCCACCTGAAGCCGTCTTGGTACATTATTTTGTTTGGTGTTTCCTCTCTTACAGATTTCTACAAGTTTTTTTTCATTTGTTTTATCCCAACGATGTATGTGGAATGTTTTCTCTGTATGGATTTATTCAGGCTTCCAGCAAGGGTTTCGTAATTAGTGTCTTTGTAACCATTAGAAACTTCCTGTTTTATTAGTTACTGTTGTTGAAACACCACAACCTCTTCACTACTGATGTACTATTCTTTGATTTTTGTGTAAAAAAAAATGGAAATAATAATGATGTTTGTGTCATGAAACCTTCTGTTTGCTCACAATCGCTTGCCCCCCGCATTTCTGCACTTTTCCTATGACTGCAGCCAAAAGTCATTTTCCACGAATCAGACGGCGACAGCAAACAGATTCACTGAACGCAACAAAACAGCAACTCGGCAGCCTTGTGTGGATCAACAAAAGCAACAAAAGTGTTCATCTGAAAAGAGGAATGAGAGACATTCTGCCAAACACAAACAGTCAAAACACATTCAAGCCGAAAGCCTTGATGTGAATGAATCTTTTATTGCAGTCGTGTTGTTCTGACACAAAAGAGACTTGAAAAATAAAAATTACAAATTTGAATTTGAATTTTTTCACTGTGGGGGTGGGGGAACCGCAATTTGAGCCTAGTTGCTTCAAATAAGAAAAAAATATATATTATTTAACATTTTACACTTAATAGAAATGTAAGTTGAGTTTCTAATTAATACTCATTTAGATCACTGTTGCTGAACCACGGCAAGGATTGGCATGATGAGGTCACCATGTTTCCATAGCATGCACGGCTACAAACATTTTCTTTCCCAACATTACAAACACACACACACACATAAAGCCAGATAAACTTTTTAATTTGAAATGTGTCCTTTGACTAGACTGATGTTTCAGATTAAATGCAAAATTCCATTTATTTACCACCAAAGAACAAGCAAAGTAACAGTTTCATAATCTTCTGCCAGATTAAGATCCAAACTTCAGTTTTCCAACATGGCTGTCTCTCGTCACAGACCTAAGTCCTGCAGGATGTTCTCTCTGTATGCGCTCCAACAAGGCTATCATTTTTTTATCCATGCGCTGCCTCATTAGTGAAAAAGGGGCCAGTATGAACAGCAGGGGTCCCAGCAGAATTATGCTACCAGTGATTTGGTTGAAACCGATTATTTTCTTCACGTTGCATTTTTTTTTTTCCCCCTCATTGAATACATTTACAAAGTATAAGTTGAATTTTTTTGAAGGCTTTTCACATCTTCTCCAGAGGGATGGGAGTTTCGTGTCAGTAAAGCACGTTGAGAAAGTCCCCAGCAACATGTCGGTATTACTTTTTATTCACTGTGAATTAAAAGATTTTGAAAGACGCCAGAGTCGTTGAAGTGGCAGCGGGGTTTCCCTTCCTCACACGCTCCCCTCTCGATCAGAGGTCAGAGGTCAGCAGAGTAAAACCAGTTGGCAGTGTTCCCCGCAGCCCACCCGCTGCCAACATGTCAAATGAGAAAACGGAGAGCTGAGTGTCACGGTGAGCCGTGGAAACCGCGTCCGGGCTTCTCGATCCACTTGGCTGCCGGACGACATGACGCCCAAGGTGGACTTTGCATTTCTGGCACCATGTGAGACGGTAACTGTCCACTGCTCACTGTACGCGCATCAGCTCACACATTGGTTCATCAGGTTTAGCTTGGCATGAGCTGTGCTTGTTGCCAGCAGCATGCTGATGAAAGTAATATTGATGGTAACATGGATTCAAATGTAACTGGACAAACCTTAATGATGACCTCTCACTCCAAGCTTTAAGGTTCATCCTAAGTGATCATTGATTCCTTCTTTGCATGCAAATGCCACAAAGTGTACACCAACACAAAAAATGTTCTAATACCGATATTTGATATTATGGTCCATAATCGATATTTATCGATAGTATAAGTTTTTTACTGCCATTTCGACATATTTGGGAAACAAAACCCCACCTGAAACAGACAGTGACAAAATAAAAACAAATATCAGTTATTTATATTGGCCCAGTTATATTTATCAGACCGATACCGATATATTTTAAAAAAAAATTACTAACATTGACCGGTACTGATGTCGATGTAGATATATCGTGCATCTCTTCAATTTTTCCTGGCTTTTGGAACTGTATTTTGTGTAAGCATTTCACACAAACATTAAAGCATTGTCACCAGCCACACCATGAGGCATACTCTGTCAATAAACTTCAAACTAGTTTATTTGCTTTGTTGTTTTTTTACTACAGTCCAAAGTGACTCAGAGTTTTCACCTGGTTCTACGCATAGCTGCGTGGTTTGATTTTTCAGAAAGAAGTTGATGACTCATACGTGTGTGTGTGTGTGTGTGTGTGTCATCCTGTGATGTAAAGTACTCAGGGTTGACCCAAGGGACACCAACTCAACCAGCTGCAGCTTTTACACAAGGTGCGGAAAACGCCCAGCTGTCGTCTCTCGAAAACTTTCAGGGTCAGAGAAGTTTACAAATGCATTTTAAACATGTTCATCCTCAAGAAGAAGTTCGGGTTTGTTCATTCTAATATCAAGTAATCTATATTTCAACATTACTGAGGTAAGCAAAATTTCATTGATAAAAAAAAAACAACTTATGATTTAACTCAAAGTGTTTGAACTTTAGTCACATTTACCATAAAGCACATTTACATGTGTACAACAAGCCAGGACGGAATACTGCAAAAATCTGAACTGGAGAGAAAACTGTGCATATGAAAAATAATATGAAAAATTTTAACTCTGATGCCTCTGAACAGCTTCCCTCAGAGGTCAGCCAGCTCTGTGGAGTCCTGTTAATTTGCTGCAAAGCATGCTGGGAAAACAAATATGTGAAGGTTTGGCTCCAATCTGAGGAGACCAAAATTTAAAATGTCTGGGTTTTATGAGAGAAGTGAGCAATTCTCCAAAGAAGAATGGGCAATAACTGTCAGTGTAAAGAGATGAGCACTGAGTACAAATATGACTATTGTTTCTCCCATTTTTATAAGAAAAATGAAAATAATGTTGGCAGTTTTACAAGTATGCTGGCACGTCACATAAAATCCCAAAGAAATGCCTCGATGTTTTCATCCATGGATGGATGAATTGGCTGCAAATGGAAGAAACAGAAAAACTCAAGTGTGATTTCTGTTTCCAAACGGCAGGATTTAATGTTTCTCCAAGGGAGCGCTGCGTCTCTGAGCATGTGCCCCGGGGTCCACACAGAGCCACAAAGTTCACTGCGACTCCTCCACAGCCAGTCAGTAAATTAGTAAGTACGTAAAATGTCGCGATGCGCCACGCCGAGCTGTTACACGACACTGCACTGTGGCAAGCATGAAAAATTCAGCCACAACAGAATCCAAAACATTCAGAAACACCCATGTAGATCACGACTGCTGCACGCTTCAGCACACAGAAAATATACAGTGGCTTTAGAGATCATTTTGAAAAAAGTAAAATATACATATATATAGTATATTTTAAACTTGATCTCTTATTGTTATTCTATTCTATTCTATTCTATTCTATTCTATTCTATTCTATTCTATATTTATACAGAAATAAGAGTCATCCAGGAGAGGAATCAGTGGAATTACTGATCTCTCACACAGCAGCTTTACCTTCTAAACTCAGACTCTCTCCTGCTTCTACCAAGCCTGCGGGCGGTCACAGCAAACTGTGATGTGTTTTTTTTGTTGTTGTTTTTTTTGGAGCTGTGTAATTGACAGAGACCTGTTGGGCCTGCTGAGAGAACTGGGATATTTAGGCCTTAAATGGGAACATCTCCACTCGTAACATCACAATAACAACTAGCAAAACAGGAGCAATCACACACCGGGTGAAGAGCACACTCTAGTATCCAGGTCCAGGTTTCAGGCAGTGAGTGAAGCGAAGACTTTCTGAGTAATCGTCTGAAGAGACGGGCAAACAAACCGGACCAGACACCGATGACGATGGAAACCTTCTTAGGCTTGTTTTGTTTCCTGCTACGAATTAATACTGTGAGCAGCCACAGATCTCTCTGCTAAAAGTAACAATAATTTTCCTGTGGGTTTGTTACAGCAAAGCCTTTAATCACATTTTTGCCAAGATTTCATATGTTGTGCTAATTTCGTCAATGAAAATGACATCAGATTTCTTTGAAGACTACAGAGGCTGACTCTGTAGATTAAGTTTAATGGGAAAATATAGACTGGAGCCGCTCCAAACCTGCTCCTGGCAGAGCTCCTGATTACAAGGGTCTCAATTAGTTATTTGCACCGTCTCCAACTGGGATGACTTTAACTGTAAATTTTAAATGACTGCTAGATATCAAAAGTTTTCCCAGTTGTTTTGGAGAAATGGGCCAAGTTATTTACTCGCAGGACATTTAAAGGTTTTTTAACAATTAAAATAAGCAAAAACCTCCCAGTGGAGATTTGAGACCGAGGCCTTAAAGGGATTTATTGACCTGGTGGTTGACATCCAGATTTTCTGTCATGGCTCCAGAGACCAGAACTCCAAACCTCTGGTTTATTCACATTCCTGTGAGCAAACTAAATAGTTAGTAAAAAATACTATATTTTCACTATGGGTTCACTATGGGTTTACTTTTGTGATTACTTGCATCTGCTATGACTTGAAAATACTAATAGCAACACATTATCAGTGACGTTCTGACGTTGAGCGCCGCCGGCGCTATCTTTATTCTCGTCCAGCTCTGGGTGGAATGAGGAGCTACGCGTCTGGGTTTCAAAGTCAAGAGATTCACGTTTGAATTTTTCATGACGCACTCCGATCCCCCTCATTTCCTTGACATTTTTCTTCCATGAATAAATGATACAAAGACATTCCCTGATACAGACAAGAGAGATGGGAGGGAAACGCTTAAGCACAGTCAGGATGGGAGCGTGGGGGAGAAATTACCTATAAATCATTGTGAACAAAAGAAATGAACATTGAACATATGCAGAGTGACTGTAGTTAAATCTTTAACGTTATTGAAGTTAGAAACTCCTCAAATTTAGTTTTGATTAGTTGTATTCACACATTTAGTACGGATTTTTTGGACCTGCCATAGCAATGCACGGGGAGGGCAATGTGCCCCCTCACAATATATAATATATATATATATATATATCAAAACATGTGGCTCGGTCCCATGAGGGGAGCTGTTACTTTTGTTGGCATTTCTAGTAACTGTGGCGACATAATTAACAAAAAACAAGCCAAACAAGCATTAGACCCCCGATTCAAGATCTGTCTTTTCTCGAACCTCCCTGGTTGATCGGAGGGCTGTCTTTCCTTGGTCTCCTCTGTTTGTATGGAATCTTCTGTTTGCAACCTGAGTGTGGGTCGGTGCAAAGGCCAAGCCGGGCTACGCATGGCGACGCCTCGTTGATTCAAGGTCTGCCTTTGTTTGGGCTCCTCCGCTTGTAGGGGAACTTCTGGTTGGGTGGAGACTCTGGGATGGAGAGCAAGTTTCAACTTCACCTTCAGGTCTGCAACCTGACCCTGCAGAGATTTCACCGTTTCCTCCTCTGCTTTGCATTTAGAAGCTTGCTCAGTGTGACGTTTGAGCTGCTCCTCATATTTCAGTCTCACTCTGTATTCTTCAACCATCACTTCTATCAGACCTTTGTTGCAGGTGGCGTATTTTTCAGCCTCCCGCTTGAAGTGACCCAGCTGTTGAAGAAGGCTCTTGTCGGCTGTAACTTTGAAAGAGCAAGAAACCTTTGATCCACCTGTCGTCTCAGGCACGTTATTTCCACCTTCACGTTTGACTTGCAGGTGGTGTTCGTTTTCTAACATTGTTTGCAGTTTTTGAAACTCTTGCTGCTGTGATTTGACTTCGGTCTCTTTCCTCATGGAGATCAAAAATCTTACTGTGCAACTCTTTCTTAAAATCGTCCACCTGCTTTATGAGATCAATGACGTGCTGGCTTGTCTCTTCCACGACTTCCACTGAGGGGGTGATCTCGAAGCCAGCAGAGGGAGTCGTTTCCTGCTCGACTTCCAATGATGTTGCACTCTCAAAGTTGCCGGAAGGACCTGATTCCCCCTGGATCTCTGCTGACTCATCTTCCGGCTTAATGGGGCTGTCGCTGTCATCTTCAAAAGGGAAAACCACAGCATCGTAGTCGACTTGGATGTTGAGGTCCATCATGTCGACCTATGAAGGCTCAACTGAAAAAGATTCATGTTCACACACGATCTGTTGTTTCTTTGTGTCCATATTCTGGTGAAGTCCTGCTTCTCTGAGAGGCGGGATATCTGGAACTGATGTCCCGCTTGCTTCAATTAATTTTGAACGAGCTCTGAAGCGTGATCTGTCTTTTCTTATTTATTAGTAAGTAAGTCAATGAAGACAACATGCTGCTGATGCCACATGGGCTAATATTAGCAATTTGCCTCATTTTAACTTGTGCACTAATATCAACACACTGAATGGCATACATCCATGTTACTCAACATGGATGTATGTTGAGTAACATGGGTACATTGCGGTTTACTTTACCACTGGTGCTAACGCTGGGTTCCAACACACAGGCACGCTTTGGCAGGCCCTGTTTACATTTCTTCATAAATGTTAAATTTTTTTTTCCTAAGATTCTGTGAAATTTATTTCTTGACCTCAGTACTGGGCTGTAGTTGATCTTTCCTTTGATGTGACACCTGACATACTCCCCAGATCAATTTCAGGAACGGCCCTGTATCCAGGCGTTAGCAGACTTTTGTTTTTGTAAGCAGCAGCCTTTGCTGGATGTGATTAACGAAATATGCAGCCCTACTGGGATTTGACATTCACCAGCAAAGTGTAGCTGTAAGCCTTTTATTAATTAGGCGGAAGCTTTTTACTAATCCTCAAAGGCAAAAGAGAGGGAGGGAACGTGGAACAAATTCGGGAAGACTGAGAGCTCGTCTAGCCTGCCAACAAGGAAAAACGCTTCATCTGAAAGTAACTGTTGTCTAAACTAATAAAATAGCAATTGTTTTTCTCAATTTAGAGCTTCCTTCAAGGTGACATCTGAAAAACAAAAAAAAAAGACCTTCTGAGAAACACTTTTTTGCCCTTTCACTGATTTTAGAATCTTAAATCACAGTTCTGCTTTATTTATCTATTTATTTACTGTGATCAAAGATCAGCTTTAAAATGACAAGGAATTCAGAAATACATTGAAAATAATAATTTAAAAAAAACACAAAAAAGCCTCTTTTCTTTTTTCTGTCCCCATTGAGACATGTGGAAAGGGATTATGTTCTGACTTTGGGGATGTCGGGTTGGGTGTGCTACTAAAAATCACGGCCTGAAAGTAGTCTACCACGCGGGATTTCTTTGTGAACAAGGAGTACATGTACCTCAATTTAGAGGAGACAGATCTAGCTCCGCTTTTCTTCAAATACTGAGAATGTTGATCAAATAGTTGCATTTTTTGTAAGAGTGAGGGTTTCCTGTCTCGGAGCCCTACGCTCCTGTAGTTCTCATTCAAATCTAAGAGTAAAATGGAATTTACCTTAAACCATTAAAGCGGCTTTACATAATAGCACTTTTTAGTTGCGGTCACAGTAGTGCTCTATTTCTTTCCCTTCCTCTGACATTAAAATGTGAGCTTATAATTTGCCATATTAATTCGAACGTTGTATCTTGGTTTCGAGTTTCGGAAAAAATTGCCGTTTGCTGTTTTTGTGACACTGAGCCTCTGAGTCAGCACAGACAATATCAAATCATCCGTGCTTCCCACAGTCTTTTCACTTCTCCCGTTCCACCAGGGGGCTCTAAAGTTAATTTCACACACAGCACACTGGACATAACTTGGCGGCAGACCGGAAGTGTTTCATGTCACCTTCATTTACCTGTCAAATCTCATTTTGGCCAGGAAACTACTGTTTTCGCCGTGCTCTCGTATTATTTTCCTGTAAAAACTCTGTTAGTTTAGTTTGAGTGATTGATTTGTTTTTTATGTTGCTTCTTAAAGTCGGGATGAGAGAAAAGATTATTATTATTAAGGGAATATTAAACAATAATAATATTTTGACAGTGTAATGTGTCCTTGAGCTCTGCAACTCATTTATTTATCCTTCTGGATCCTTAGGTGTCAATGATCAGCAATTTTAAGTGGCCCCTCTGAGTGATCTCTGATTGGCTGAATAGCCACAGCTGGCAGGCCGTCAGGAAGAGCAAAAGTACAGTAGATCTTTGCTCTTCTCTCTCTCCACCTTGGCAGCTTTGTTGGGAAATTGATCAGACCTAAAAACTTTGTGTGTGACTGTAAGTGGTCTGGGACTTCAGTCTACACCCACAGGATAATGCACCACATCTTAGCGACACAGCAGCGTTCATGTGGTAGCAGATACAGGAAAGGTCCAACTGTCCATGTGAAACATGGCTCTGAACTTTCACTCTGTCTCACGAGAGCTTTTCGTCTCCTGCTCAGCATGCAGGACTGTCTCAGGCTATTTACAGAGGTGACTTATGAGGGCCCAGTGTAAGCTACACTCCACTGATGTAAGGAGACACTGCCGTTCTGGAAAGGCAGCAGGTTGCTGTGGTCAACTGGTGCACTGGCAGAGTGCGGGACTCAGGTGGATTATTTCCGGCTTTGTGATAAAAGAGCTCTTTGGATGGATTTATGAAAAAAAATAATAAAAATCACTGTTGAAAACTCTCACCATTTCTGCTCTAGTTCTATCTACTGATGTACAATGCGACTCTGAAGTTTCCACATGGCTGAAACGCAACATAGCACTGTGGAAAACAGTATTCTGTACTACTACATTTCATAACTTCCAGGTGGAAGTTACTCAGACTGAGGGAGAAGATAAAAGAAAATTAAATTACTGACATTGACATATCAGTCGACAACTAATATGTCAGTGACATATTAGCATGTTTAGTACCTTGGCATGTTTAGTACTAATGCTTAACATGTCTGCTACCTTGCTGATGACAGGAAGCTACTGGATTGTAGCTGCCCTAGAGCAGTCCGACAGCAGCGAAGCTGCCATTTTGCATCATTGACTTTTCTGCCCGTCACCAGCAGGCAAGGCAGATGAAGTGTTTTCCCCAAGGATGCAAATGACAAGAGCAGGTGGACCGGGAATCGAACCGGCAACCTACCTATTGCACAGCAAAATGCACAAACCATAAATGTTGGTCGAAGGAAAGAATGCACCTCCTCAAATCTACGGTTTTAAATCATAGATTTGCTCTCTGCTACGTTATAAAGTTATCACAATTTATTTTTAGGTGTACCAAACCACAGACCAAAGAGTTATTCTCCAATATACTCTTTCTTTTGATCTTAGTTTGAAGTTAAAAAAAAAAATACAAATGATCCAGGAAGTGTAACCTAAAGCCAGATTCCCCCTCTGAAACCAGCCCCCAAAACGTCCCTCCTCTCATTTTGACCATTCATTTGCTTTCAACCTGCAGCAGAGACCCACCTCCAAAGCCAGTTCCTCTATCTGAAGCTGCTTCATGGCGCTTCGATTCCCATCCACATTTTTGTGGTAGTAGATCACCATCACGTCGTACTCCCTCATGATGGACTTGTAGTTCTTGGCAGTGAGGGTATGGACACGGTCTTTGCCGTCATACTCTGGGATCTCCAAGCCCTTCTCTCCAAAAGACACCGCTACCAAAGAGAGGAAGTAGGACCCTAAAAACACCCATGTCCACTTCATGGTGATTGTTAGCAGTACAAACAACTCAAAGCCTTCTTGATGAGGGAGTTTCAGAAGACAAGAAAACACTTAAAATGGTTTCTACTTTCCCGTAAAGGGAGAGTATGTCCAGTTCCTGTCCCCAATAGCTGGAGAAGAGAAGGTCTGACATTGATACTGTCTTTATAAGAGGAATATCACATGGTTTGCTGACATCATTGGCCAAAGAGAAGAGGTGGGACTATCTAGGTGGGACAACCCTTGTCCACAAGACATGGAGCGGCCAAAAAAGTCGGGGTAAGAGTGGGGGGGACTTGTGAGTGGAAGTCAGAAATATCACATGGTGCGTTTAAAGACTGGAGGGGCCTCACTGACACCTGTTGAAGCTGTTGAGACGAGAAGGGACCCTGTTACTGTTGGACGTACGAAGACTAGAGGATGAGTTGAGTTTCTCGGAAGACAGAAGGAACTGACGCCACGAAGAAGGCAAACGAGACGCTATTGAAAATTCACAGAGAAACAATCTGAGGCTTCTGCAACAACCGAAGGAAAGAAACTCAGTCCAAAAGTCCTCTTCTTGAGATGATGGCATTACAAAATTCCTACAAACATCAAAGAGGATGAAGCCTTTTGAGAACCAGATGTCAAAAACAGAGACATCAACGTTCCCTCAACATTGCAGAAATAAGCTTGTTTCCAGGGGAATCTGCGAACCACTGCCACATTAACAAAATCAAAAGAAAAACATCAGTCAGTGTGATGGCAGTGCAACTACAAAGTCCTTCTTATTGTTAATGCTCTGGCAGACTTTGTAGCCACATTCCCTGTTGGACTGAAGTAGAAGATAATGGCCTCCCAGTGTCATGTTGTCCCTGCTCAGCCGTTGGACCAGAGTGTGAAGTTCATTATAACCTGAGGGGGAAAAGAGATGGAAAATGAAACGATAAAAACAGACAGACCTAACACAGTAGTCGCACAGAGCATGTCACAGACAGAGGGGGACACTGTCAGCTGTGAGTTTATAATGAGAGAAGGGGAGAGGGTGGCTATTAATAACAGTATGTAATCCGATCTGTTTTCTCCCCCTGTCAGAGGGCTGATTTCACCCGCGTTATGAGCTGATCTGAATCCATGTTTCTTTGTTGTTGTTGTTGTTTTATTTATTTTTTATCTGAATGCCAGCAAGGGGTACAAGGGAGCTGGGCACTGCTTCACAGGCGGGTCGTCGCCACAGTGTGCTGGCTTTGTACGAGACAACTTCTGAAACCTTTGAGTCACTGCGGGAGGTTTATGAACCGTTCTGATGAGAGGGGAATCATTTTGAACAAACACAACTCTTTGATTTCATTAGTTCTTTGAAATCTGACTCTTAAAACAGCCAACACAGCATTGGGTTGAATATGGATCTATCCTGTTGTTGAATCACACTAGTGTTAGGTTTTCTGACCCAAAAGTGGATTCAACCCTCCTGCGGTCTTAGCGCGATGCTCAGACAGAGTGCGGCAGATGTCACAGTCGGACAGCCGGGAAGCGCATGCGTGATCAATGCGACCCCAGCGGACCGCGCACAGGGCAAAAACGTTGTGGGGTCCAATTGACCCCAACTCTTAAGACAGTGGGCGGGTTAAATGTCTAATGTCTACTGTTAGCATGCGAATCAGCTAGCTTATAATCAGCTTTAAGGGTGTGGAGAGGGTTGAACAGAACAACACATAGACGTAAAGTATAGAAATTACCTATACTTGTATAGAGCTTTATTAAGACTCAAAGTGCTTCAATAACAAACTGTGAGTCGTCTCTTATGACTGTAAGTTTTAGCTGCTCTGACATTGTGACCTCATCCATAATAAAAAATTAGCTTTTCTGGCCAAGTTTGTGTGCACAAAGAGTTTCTTTTACGGCATAAAAATTTCAAGTATGAACACACAAACTCTAGAAAGTTAAAAGGGATACAAAGAACAATATGTAAATATATGTGGATACACTCAGTAATGTTCCCTTTTTCTTTCAAAGGCAAGTTGTGGCAGTACAACTATGCTTTGTTTTTTGCTGAGATGTTTGTAACCTGTTTCTGACCAAAGTACTGGATGGAGTAAAAAATCAAGCCTGGTCATTCTGTTTGCAGTGCTGATATTATGAAGCACTGATCTTTAAATTTATTATTTTTATTATTATTTTGTTCATTTATTTCTAGATTTTCAACCCAGCACATCTAGTTTTAACATATTTTAATCAAATAGCATGTTGTGAAATTATACATTTTCTCCATTAATTCAAGCTATCGGTGAAAGAATATCTTGGAAAATTGGCTCTGGATTTGTAAATGTATTTCTATCACTCAGAGACGGTGACTTCAACAACAAATCCACCAAATTACTGTTTCCTACTCTTATTTATGAGATGCAGAGCTATTCTGCTGACTGAAAGCCTGGGAGCGCTCCTACCAACGCTGTATTAAACATTTTTGAAAATTGAGGACGGAAGACAGCAGAAGACGGGCTTTGGGATTCGTCAAAGCCTCATCAGGGAACGTTCTAGCAGATTTTGACAAGCAGTTCGCTCCCAATTCTTTAGCAGTCAGCTTCCATCCTCAGTGTATCATCAGTGAGAATGGCTTCATTAGACCTCCGCTGTCACTCACAGCTGCTTTTGTTCCTCTCTCTCTCTTTCTCTCTGCAACAGGCAGGAAGTGTCAAAATGCAGTTACCCCTCCATGGTAAACAGCTCCCCCATCTGGCAGAAGCTCATTCGCCCAATCACAGCTCCTTCTTCTTCTCCTCTCGGCGCCTTTTGAAACTCAGAAGCAAAGGTGAGTCTTAAAAACATCAGTGTGGTTTTATATGCAGGTCATTAAACTGTGTCTGCTGTTGCCACAGCAACTGGGTCTTGAGTTGTAAGGTAAAAAAAAAAAAAAAAGAAGCTGGGATAAGCACACACTGACTTAAACAGCCGCTTTAGTTGTCTGTGAAAGTTTTGTTCTTTGACATTTGTCATAAAAAACATATATATGTATATATAATGCAGTATTCAAACTATTATTGCAATGTCATTGCAATAGTGTACAATATTGCAATACACATTGTTGTACATTGCAATACAATAATGGATTGCATTGTTTCCGGTTTTTGAAGTTCAAAAACCGGAAATTCCTCAGTTTCTGGGTTATTAGGCTCACATGCCTGTTTTTAACCGTTTTCAGCACTTGATTCGGTCAAACCGGGTTTTAAATGAGCTCCACACCTCCTCTCTCATTTCATAGTGCGAAAGAGTGACACGCGGCGTCTGGACACTAACGAGATCTAAAGTCTCTCTCACAGGGACAAAGAGCTTGGGGGGGAGGTGGAAGGTGTCGTGGAAAAAACAAACGGAGAGAGTAAGAATTATAGTGAAAGGAGAGAGAATGCAAGGAATGCTAGAAATGATGGCAAATGGGAAATAATAGTAGACTGAAAAAGGAAAACAGCTCAGTTTTTCACCCAATATCCAAGCATTAATGATTTAATTAATGGCGTTAGAGAAACACACAGAAACATATGTCATGCACAAAATCACAATGCAGTTAGAAAGTGGTCAAACTTATTAGATTATTAGTGATTTGAAAATTAGGTTAAGTTTTTTTTTCTTCTCCGAGATAGAAATAAAAACTTCACTTATCACAGGTGTTTGCTTCAGAAAACTAAAAAGCCTTGAAATCTCTCCAGCGTAAATGGATTGATAGAAATGAACTAGATAATTGCAAATTGTAAAAAAAAAAAATTATAATAATAAAAAAAGTCAATTAATAAAGATGGACGCAGGCATCAGCTAAATAATGACACAGTGGCACATTTTTTATGTTTGGTTGTTTTTTCTAAGACACACTGTTTTAAAGTTTTAAAATGAATTTAGTATGGAAAAAATACAGAATGTAACTTAGCTAAAGGGTTTGATATACATCCATTTCTTTGGCTTGGAACTTTCAAAATTGCTGTGAGTTTTGTTGTCAGATGGACGCTTTTTAAAATAATCGTTGAGCATAATTTATTCCATCATATCAAAGTAGAAAAAAAAATCAAACGACTCAAAAAGGTGAGTGTGATCATTTTAATGGCCCTAATCTTGACATATTGTCATTTGTTGAAACCCATGAAAAGCATTTGTAATCTATGAAGGTTTTGGTAGTTTGTCATTTCATAACCGTGAATAATAATCGATTTTCTGTAGTGAATCAACACAAAGCAGTGTTGTGTATAATTAGGAGGTAGAACATGACGTTGATGCATGACATGAAAAAGCTCTTTGATTTCTCAATGAATCTCTCAGATTGGATGGAGAGCTTCTGCAAACAGAAATATTCAAGTCCTGCCACAGATTTTGAGTGGGAAACAGGTCCAGACTTTGATGAATCCTTCCTAACACATGGATATGCTCCGATCCAAGCCATTCCATCGTAGCTCCAGCTTTATTTTCTGGGTCGTCCACCAGGATGTTCAATTTAATATCCTGAGTTGGTTTTTCTCCACACGCTGCTTTGCCCAAAGGCCGTAAACGTTTTGATCTCATTGGACCAGAGCTCCATTTTCCTACGTGTTTGCACTTGGCTTGACGCATGCAGGATTTCATTTGGTTCTCTTTCAACAAAATTTTTTATAAAGACCAGATTTGAAATTAAAGACTGATCTCGAAGGTTTTACGTTACTTTTTCTTTCAGACTGAGCTGACCTAGTGAAATGCTAAAAGATTGAGAGGTGCTCAAATCTGAAACCTTTTTTCCTGCCTGCCTGTCTTCTTTTAATAATCAATTGACCACATTTATTTAAGAATACTGGAGTAAATGGGCATGCACATCCCACTTTTAGTTGTGCAAAATATCTTTTTCAAAATTATGCACTGCATTGTGTGGATTGTGTGGCTGCATGCGATGTAAGAAAATGAAAAAAATTTTCATATGTAGTGCGAGTACCTTTGAGACTTCTTTACTTTGGTTTGTGGAGGAAAAAAATGGAAAAACGACAGAAAGATAAACATACATTTCAGCTGCAGACATATTTGTGTTTGCTTCCAATTTACAAAAAGAAGATGTAACATGTTTGCTAAAATGTTTACTTGACTCACACTGTCATCAGATCTGAATAATCAGTCAGATCAGGGCTGAAATCAGCCCCCGCCAACCCCACCACCACCACAACA